AGAGTGCCATAAGGGTCACGTTCAGAAGGAAGTACTTCAGTTTGACTTAGTCCGCCAGTCAGGCGAGTAGGTCAGTGAATTGCTGTGGGGAATAGGTGCAGCTGCTGATATATCTGATGACCTCATTCACGCATAATAAGTACACGATCTGGTTCCCCCAACACAAATACAGTGATTTCGCACAATTGGAATTGAGCGGCTCTCAAATCACTGACGCCAGAGTACCAGAGGTCACTTTAGTAAGGAGCCATGGCAGGCCGACTCAGAAATTTCTGGGAATTTCTATCTATGGAACTGCATCATACGTTTTTCTGATTTGCTTGAAAAAATAGGAAATATTTTATAATTGAAAGAAAGCGCAATAATTTGGTCCGCCATTCACTTTTTCACCCTTTTTACTCACTGATACCGTACTGCCACACATGACCTATAGCCGTAGCCGTTCAGATTCTGCCATTACCTTTGTAGCCATTCATCTTCCCCAACCGTTACCTGACAATCTACTTAGCTCCTGCTGACTACTGCTACCAAAATGTGGGTGTTTCATTGAATGACAGCTCAAAAAGGTGGGCTGTAGGGCGAAATATGTAGCAATAACACAAAGTTTATTCTGTGCGTTGTCGCCAACAACGACAATCTAAACGACAAACTCCATGTTCCACTTTTATATCTTTCAGATCCGCCGTTGACCTTGTCACAGCCAAGTGTCGCGGAGACGCCAGAGCCATCCTCGCAAATGTTCTCCTTAAGGTATTCTTTTCAGCCATTTCAATCAGCTGATTTTATAGTTCACACAGATCTCCGTTAGTAAGTAATTGCTTTCACTTCACATTCACAGAACATTTACGAGACAGAGATCCACCTGAGAGATGGTGGTCTCGGTGGGGTTCCAGACTTCCCCTCCTGGGTGTCAGCTGTTTTGGCAGTCCAGTCTCGTTTCGGCCTTGTCTTCTCCCTCACCAAGGACGCTGTAACGCCGACTAAGGGTGAAGCCGATTCAAATATCCACGGCTCTGACCTGCAGGCACTGTCTGAAATCCTGGTTGAGGTGGGTGACAACGTGCTTCGACGCTACCTTAATGTGCCTAAACCAAAGGAATACAAGAAGAAGGCAAGGAGGAAAGGGGAGGACGTGGATGGTTATGAGGACAATGCCATGACCACTTGGGGTCAGTTTGGCAAGTCTGATGCCACTGAAGAGGAGGAGGAAGAAAACAGCACCAGTAATGAAGACGAGGAAGAAGACTCCGCTGCAACTTTAACGGAATTTGACCGCCTGAAGGCTCGCGAGGCTGACGTAGAGGTTTGGATCAACACTTGGCGAGACCAAGTCAGAGCTGCCTCCACGATTTCCCGACTCAATCTTCTTCATGTAAGACTATTTTTACGTGTTCTCTATGTTTCTTGTCAATTGTCTTGTTCGAGCTCTGGTTTTGTTTATCAGAGAATTGTGTTCTGTTGTTAAGCGCGAAATTGCTAAATATTGGTGAATTGCCGAAATTGGTGAATATGGCACAATGAAAGTCCGACTGCAGTCTACAGTGTCTAAAATCCCGAGAAAGCCATGACCCCTTAAGATACTCCTGCTGTTTTTTTTAACACTGCGATACAAGACTCCAGCCAGATACCGGGTTCAACGGATCTGTCTGCAGTCGGCTTTTATTTGACGGAGGAAACTTTGAAACTGGATCATTTCCAAACTTCCACTACCCGTTTTATCCCTTTTGTGTTTCGTAACTGTGATTTTGTCTGTCTATCTACTCAAGGGAAGACCTAGTTTACCAATGTGCGCTTTCAAAAATGTTGGCTTTATACGATAATGTTTTACTTGCTCATTCTTAGGCTTGCCTGGATGCCTGCATAGTGTGGGAAAAGTCGGTCGAGAATGCCCGTTGTCGAATCTGCCGTCGCAAGAAGGATGATGAGAAGCTGCTGCTCTGCGATGGTTGTAACCAGGGCTTCCACCTGTACTGCCTCCGGCCCCCACTGAAGTCGATCCCGCGCGGCGATTGGTTCTGTGTCTCCTGTAAACCGCCCGCACATTCCTTAGCCCAGAGTCGACGGGAGCAACGCGAAAATGAGAAACTGAGGGCTGTCAG